CTTCGTTATTTCTACTCTTTTGTTCGTGTTGTTCTTCCTTGGTCCTAACCTGGACCATAAGATCTCACATGGTTTTATTTCGTGGGTAACGATCTGACCGAAGAGATATTTTTAAACCTCAAGCGTTTGACTGGAAAAGGCTGCATCCTGAGAACGAAGCTGGTGCCTAGTCTGAGCTGCAACGCTACATTTAGAATTTATTCATTCCACATTCTGAATATTTATGATGGATTCAGGGTAGATGCCATCGCTACACTCATTCGAATTACAAATCGTGATTTGTTTTAGAAAGGTTTAACTGAAGACCTACTTGTTGAAATACTTGGTATGAAATGTTCATATTTTATTCAAGTTCATTGTTATACAAACGATGAACACCTATGACATCAGCAGAGTACCCTTCACCGTCGCTATACAAGGGAAAACAGCTGTTATTTGGATTAATAAATTCATTTGGACTGTGGTACGGTATATTAACCTATACTTTTTAAAACTTGTTAAAGCATAGTCCATGGCTAAACAGATTGGGACTTTCATTTCTTCCTGGTTAAAATGAGTCGGTTTTGTCGTGTACTCACCAGATATATATGACTTTGTTGGTCAAAGCAGTCTGTAGAGTAAGTGTTTGGAAGACGGTTTCTGGATAAGAAAAGGAAGTTTCTCTCAACCTTGGGGCAGGGATCAAAACATGGTATTTATTTTCTTTTTCCTAGATAGTAGAAGGCGCTTGATCCCGGGGATTTCAGTGTCTTCTTCATTACACTAAGTGAAGTGGGATCGGTGTAATATTGACGCCAGCGTGACAGGAACTGGGCATTTTTTCCTTGGTCCATATATACCCTTATTGGCTCGGCACATTAAAAAAAGACCTTGTGTCATATCCTACCCTAGTGAGATCAGGTAAGTAAAACCATGTGTTACTCAACAAAACAAGTGTAAAACTTCCTATTTGGTAACTATGCTTTTACAACGGGTAAATAAAATTTCAGAGTTTAGGCAGAGTTAGGAGTGTAGAGACGAAGTAGACTTTAGAAGGAATCGGAAACCCAATCCTAAGCAGGAACAAAAGGATAAACCTCTACTCCTGTTCAAAAAACCTGGAAGGAGTGTGAACCGGACTATAAGCGAACCAATCTACTACTACTAAAGAAAAATAAATGAATAAAAATTAAATAGTAAATACATTTTCAGGGTTAAACCGCCGGAGGCGTTAGAAGTATACTTTAGACATAAAAGTAGACTTTAGAAGGAACCGGAAACCCAATCCTAAACAGGAAACAAGGGATAAACCTCTACTCTCGTTGAAAAGACCGAGGAGTAGTGTTATTACTTTCTCGACTTCTTCGTCACTAGATTCATTGTCATTTAAATTTTGGGATAGGCTTTGTAATGTTTGAATATATTCTGGAATTTATTCTATTTTCTCTGATATCTTCAGTTTGGTGTTATCCTGATTGAAGTATGGCTGGAAGTGATTTTTTTTTTTTGGGGGGGGGGGTATTTTTTTGTTTTGTTTGTTTTGTTTTTTTTCGTTTTTTGTTTGTTTTTGTTTCTGTTTTTGTTACCAGGACTTTTGTTTTGTTTTGGTTTTCATTGTATGATATAATCATAGGTTTTGGCTTTTCTCCACATTTCAACACATAATCAATGTTATTATGATTCATTCATTTGGTTTCTAATTTCCAGAAGATGTTTCTTTCTCAGAGTATTAACTAGATTTTTTTTATTTTCTTTATTAGTTGTTTAGTGTTCTCTTTGCATATTTATCTTTCTTTTTTTTTCTGCTATCAGTCTTTTTTAATTCAACACTGTCATCAAATGCAAAGACCTTTTTTATTTGTATTGTTAGTTTAGTATTGGTCTAACGTTCGTCGACGAGAGAAGATGCGATTATATTGTCATACATCGATAATACGTGGGTCAAAATTTACAAAAAGTTTACCTTAATTACTGACCATTGACAATCACTCACAGCAATTTTGTAATAAATTCATTTACAAAGTATTTCTGTAGTAAAAACATTCACAGTGAATTTCTGTAATAAATTTAATTGCTATACATTTATGAACGTTATCCTGAACGGCCACTCTTCTAGATCCTTTCGTGCTAATGCAGGTGTCCCCCGGGGCTCCATCCTTGGGTCTACTCTGCTTTTAATTTTCATTAATGACCTCGTTGATGACATCAGCTCTCAACTTGGTATCCATGCTGATGACACAAGCATTTACACCTGCCACGATAGTAAGGCTGATCACTCAGACAAGATCAAAATGGCAGTCGATGTCCAAAATGACCTCAAGTCCATCGTTAACTGGGGCAAAAGATGGCTTGTTAATTTTAACGCCTCGAAAACTAAACTTCTCTCCATTAATCATCTTAGAGACCTTTCACTGCTTTCCATCAGCATGGCTGATGCTAACCTTCAGGAAAGTGACATGTTACTCCTTCTCGAGCTCACGTTATCTGTTGGTATGAATTGGAAAGACTATATTGAATCCATTGCTAGGTCAGCTATTAAGAAAGTCTGTTCACTATGTCGAACGAGACAATTTTTCTCTCCAGAATCTATCTTAGATATCTATAAGTCTACTATTCGTCCATGTTTAGAATATTGCTGCCACGTATGGTCCTGTGTCCCTGCTATTTACCTTTAGCTCCTTGATAAGACCTAAAGAATAATCAGCAATATTATTAGTTCTGATCTGGTCGCTCGGCACCAATCATTTTCCCACCGCCGTAAGGTTGCTACTCTATGTATTTTCTATAAATACTCTCATGGCAATTGTTGTAATTGTTCGGGTGAACTCTTCGCAATAGTTTTTTTTTTAATTTAAGCACAATGCTAGACAGAGAACTCATCAATTTACAGTTAAGCTGTCTAGATGTAGCCGTAAATTCTATGCTAACGGTTTCTTCACTTGTACTCCCTCCAGGCCCCTTGGATTCCAGCCAATTTTAATCTGTCCTCTTGATTAATCTCTTCTTTTTCTAATCATCATTGTTATTTCTGCTCCTAATTCTTCGACATCCTGTAACCCCTTGTGGTTTAGTAACATTATTGCCTTACTTGGGGTGATACCGATTAATACATATATATATATATATATATATATATATAAAGAGTTGCTTAATATATATATATATATATATTATAACCCAACACTACCACCTCCTACTACAGGTAGCTTCATCCCGCCACTCACTCTTCTTCACATACGTTATTCTTAAGTTTTTTGATCTGATGAGGTCATAGGTGAAACTAGTTGAAACGTCCTAAAGAGTTAATGGAGTAAGAAGATGGAAGGAAACGACTTTCAGGACAGACAATCGTTGCTTGATTGTAGAAACAATAACAGGGTGTTAATTTGTCAATGATTAATATCAGTTTAATTCTTCGTTGTTATGGTCTACCTAACTACGGCCAGTGGGTGAGTTAGTAAGTGTCAATCTAATTCCCATCATATCGTTAAAAAGAACATTAATATCCCAGACTGGTGACTAGTAATCGATTCAACAATTCGGTAAAGCAACTTTGGTAGCAGACAAAAATTTGTCACCAAAACATAGTCTCCAAATTTTCCGTTCGATTGTCAGTCTGCATAAACGTTTGCATAAACGAAAATTTCTCAGACAATTTCTTTATTTGTCTAGCACTTCTCGGGTAGTTTCTTGCAAGGGTGGAGTAATGGGTGGCAGCATGCAGTGGTGATGTTAACTCGCTGTGTCTGGCAAGCGGACCACAACTGCTGATCCCCAACTCGACAACTGTTATCCCAATTCCTCGGCTAGTGTCCAACTCCTCGACTAAGTGTCTGCGCCAAAAGGCCAGAATCGGACTGCCTCTACTGAGGTAACCAAGCGTGGGATAGTTTGATAAATGTAATTTATCATTTTCCAAGTCTCTGCGAATTTGGCTTGTTTGAAAACCTCTTCCCAGATTCTCATGTTTTGAAAAATTCTTAGCACCACTCTCTCATAAAAGTGACTGACATAGATAGATTATGCCTAAAAAAAATCACTCATATACTATAAATGAAAAATCTATTTCGGGTTGGATCTTGTATAGACCTGTGAGATTTGCAGACAGTGAATACAGTCTATTCAAGCGTGACTGGCCTGTAACGGTTAAATGGATTTGATCAACTAACCTACTCTTTCAATGTTTTTTTTTTAAAGATTTCCATTCTGTACCTCATTCGGAATTGTATATTACAATATTTATAGTACCAACATTGACGGTTATTTTTTTTTTATTTAACCACAAGCAAGGCAATAAAGCCACTAATTCACAATGGGTTATCAAGTGCGAAAGAATATGAAAAAAAGAGTAAGAGTAATCAAGAAGACCGGAGATAACTATTAGCATTGAATTTACATTTTTTACACCAAAGTTGATTGGAGACTATGAAAGAGACGGAAGAGATTTCTACGAGCGAGAAGTGCAAGAGAAGAAACTGTTACCATAGAACTTACGGTTACATCTATCCAAGTCAACTGTAAAGTGACGAGACCTTGCTGCCAATCTAATATTGTTCTTAAATTCCTAAATTTTAGGTACGATAGAGTAAAGTTCATCAGAACAATTACAATGAAAATATTTATAGTAAAGGTACAGGGAAACTACGTTACGGCGGCGGGAATGTGACAGAAGCTGAGATGCCAGGTCAGGACCAATAAAATTTGGGCTTACATAAATATGCAAAATTTAGACAGTTATTTATTAAAATAATGTATCTGATTAAGAATTAAGATTAATCGTCCTGATTAAGAATTAGTAATTAATAATTGACAACAGCGATCAATCATTTTATTCATTATCTGTCTAGTCACACCAGGATTTTGCTCATTCCGTTTGCTTTACAGCCCAACGAGAGATTTTAAGCGTCAAGGTAATTCGGTTTCCTTTGAGCTGACATTTTTTCTGAAATTCTCTTGTCTCAGATGACATCTAAACACCTCACTTTTTCTTGTCAACATCTTATCATGTGAAACGTCAACTCATGATTTCTTTGTCTCAGATGATATCTAAACATCTCGCTTTTTTTGACTTCTTATCATGTGAAACGTCAACCCATGATTTCTCTTGTCTCAGATGACATTTAAACATCTCGCTTTTTTTGACATCTTATCATGTGAAACGTCAACCCATGATTTCTCTCGTCTCAGATGACATTTAAACATCTCGCTTTTTTGACATCTTATCATGTGAAACGTCAACCCATGATTTCTCTCGTCTCAGATGACATTTAAACATCTCGCTTTTTTGACATCTTATCATGTGAAACGTCAACCCATGATTTCTCTCGTCTCAGATGACATTTAAACATCTCGCTTTTTTTTGACATCTTATCATGTGAAACGTCAACCCATGATTTCTCTCGTCTCAGATGACATTTAAACATCTCGCTTTTTTTTGACATCTTATCATGTGAAACGTCAACCCAGGATTTCTCTTGTCTCAAATGACATTTAAACATCTCGCTTTTTGACATCTTATCATGTGAAACGTCAACCCAGGATTTCTCTTGTCTCAAATGACATTTAAACATCTCGCTTTTTTGACATCTTATCATGTGAAACGTCAACCCATGATTTCTCTTGTCTCAGATGACATTTAAACATCTCGCTTTTTTGACATCTTATCATGTGAAACGTCAACCCATGATTTCTCTTGTCTCAGATGACATTTAAACATCTCACTTTTTTGACATCTTATCATGTGAAACGTCAACCCATGATTTCTCTTGTCTCAGATGACATTTAAACATCTCGCTTTTTTTGACATCTTATCATGTGAAACGTCAACCCATGATTTCTCTTGTCTCAGATGACATTTAAACATCTCGCTTTTTTTGACATCTTATCATGTGAAACGTCAACCCATGATTTCTCTTGTCTCAGATGACATTTAAACATCTCGCTTTTTTTGACATCTTATCATGTGAAACGTCAACCCATGATTTCTCTTGTCTCAGATGACATTTAAACATCTCGCTTTTTTTCAACATCTTATCATGTGAAACGTCCGCCTATAATTTCTCTTGCCTCACATGACATTCAAATAACTATCTTCTTTTTGTCAACACCTTTTCATGTGAAATATCATCTCATGTTCAAATTACGCTTTCTCTGAACTTTTTAGTTCAAAATGATGAATCCAAAGTACTAGCTTAGCTATCAAACCTTTTCCCACCAGCCGGTTACCAGGTATTCTCTTCTTCTTTTATGTACTGTCTCGGCTCAGGACATGTACTTTCATAGCTCTTCACAACTTCCTATGCTTCACAACTTCCTATGCTTCACAACTTCCTATCCTTCACAACTTCCTATCCCGTTCAATCCATATTCTGCTATTCAATTACACAAAATCATTACGTAGGTTATTCGATGTTTCCCTCTAACTCCTTTACCTTCAGACGGCTTACAGCCATATACCGTTGAAACACCAGTCCCCGCACTATCATCAAAGTTAAGTAACGTCAAGCCCGGTCAGTTCCCAGATGGGTGACCGCTTGGGAACACGAAGTGCTATAAAATTGGATGTACGTGTGTGGTTGTTGATAATGACTGGGAGTTGTTAATCGGAAAGACGAGTTCCAGTTCTAGCTGGTTATGTTAAATATCCTTGGAAAAAGAATGGATTAACCTTCTATCCCCCAGCTATGGGTTAATCAGTAAGACTTAATTATTAAGACTTTTATCACTAAATCCTTATTATCTAAAAAAAATTCTTACAATTTAAAAATAATTGTTTTGCTTGCAAAGTGTTTATAAGCCGTAGGAAACGAATCAATCAATTAAGTTTGCCTTCTTCGTTCATTCTTTTTATGTGCCGTGTCCTTTCAGGACGTAGTCGATTATGGCTCTCCACCTCCCTCTATCCCTTGCAGCTCTCAACAGGTTCCTTCCTTCTGCTTCCTCCCCCAGACCACGTTCTGTCATTCACTTCCTTAAGTCCGCTATGTATGTCACTCATTGTTTTCCCTTCTCTCTCTTTCCCTCTATTCGACCCGTGAGTATCAGATTCTCCAGGCCCTCCTTCCTCATTATGTGTCCCAGAAACTTCAGCTGCCTCTTCCTGATATTAATTATAAGCCTCCTCCTTGTTTTCAACCTCTCTAAGATCTCATCGTTGTTCAAACGCTCGATCCATGATATCCTTAGCATCCTTCTGTAGAACCACATCTCTGTCGACTCGAGTCTCTTCTTCATCTTTGAGGAAATCGTTCAACATTCGCTGCCGACAAATGTCACGTAACAGCTCAGTATTCTTTTCTTTGTTACCAAAGAAATCCTCCTGTCTCGCAGTACTCTCAGTAGTTTCAAATACCTCTTTCTGATTTTCTTCTTTTTGTTGTTTGTTTCCATTTTACTTAAAACTTCCTTGTTGTATACATGCTCTGTCAATGGTATTCTCGGTATCCTTCTGTAGAATCATATATATGTTGCTTCAAATCTTCATTTATGTGATCGTTGCCATATAAGAGGATTGATACTGCGTAGATGTTCAAGACTCTTGATATGTGCATAGTAAAAAGAAACAGAAGTACTTTGATCACATCATCCTTCACTCACATAGAAAATTTTCTTTTTGAGCTAGTACAGTTCTATCTCTCTCCCTCATTCTCTCTCTCTCTCTCTCTCTCTCTCTCTCTCTCTCTCTCTCTCCCTTTCTTTATCTCTTTCCTTCTATCTTTCTCTCTCTGTCTCTACCTCTGGTTGAAAGTGAGGTGGGTATCTGTATTTATAGGAAAATATTTCTATTACAAATCAAATTGTATATATGCAATATAGTAATAGTAATCAGAGGAAGGGCTCTGATGACTTCATCCTCCACTCTCATACAAAAGTGATCGGCTACATTTCTCTTTAGACAGCCATTCTCTCTCTTTCTACCTATCTCTCTCTCATACACTCTCTTTCATAGATTATCTCTCACATATACTCTCTCTCACCCTCTTTCTTTCTGTTTCTTTCTTTTTCCCTCTCTCTTTCTTTATCTTTCTCTGTCTCTCTCTACCTTTCTTACTCCCACTCACTTTCTCTATCTCTCTATTTCTAACTGAGGTGAGTTTTTATGAGCATATATATATATATTCCTTTCAGGTGTCGATTTACAACTCAATTTGCATATGTACATAGTAAAAGATTCAATTGTTTGATGACTTCATCCTCGACTCATATACAAACGAGGTCGGCCAAATTTCGCTTTGGGCTGAAACAACTCTCTCCTTCTCTTTCTCTTTTTCTCTCTCTTTCTCACTTTCTCTCTCCCTTTTTCTCTTTCTCTCTCACCCACTCTCGTTCACTTTCTCTCTCTCTCTCTTTCTTTTTTTTCTCTTACCCACTCTCTCTCTCTCTCTATTAACCCTGAGTTAAAACTTCAATTCCATCCAAGTTGCTAATTTAATTTATTGTAATTAAATGCGTTTCATTTCTTTAACTGCTCGATTCTGTTTTCTTTTATTTAAATTGACATCCAAACAGCTGACCTCTTTATTTTTTTTCTCTGCATCTTAACATGTGAAATATCAACATGTTCAAATCTCACTTTCTCTTGTTTTGTTTTTTTTAGTTCAAAATCGCAAATCCTACTTGAACTCGAACAAATAAACTCCAGCGTACATCTAATATTCTAGTAAAATCCAAATTACTACCATGCGTATATATACGTTTAATAATAATTCATCAAGTTCACTTTCCAACTAGGCATGGGGTATATATTCAGTTGTTTGTAAAATCCACCCAAGAAATCATATTGCAATACTATATACTCAAGTCACTAGAATTGAATTGATATTATATGTGTGAGTGCGTGCGTGTCTATGTGTATGTGTGAGAGAGAGAAAGAGCGTGTATGTGTGTGCACGTGTATACGTGTCTGTGAGGGAAAGTGTGTGTAGGGCGGGTGTGTGTGTGAGAGAAAATGTGTGTGTGAGAGAAAATGTGTGTGTGTGCTTGTATGCACGTGTCTGTGTGTGAGAAAGTGTGTGTGTCTATGTGTGTGCGTGCTTGTCAGTGTGCGTGAGAAAGAGTGTGTGTGTGCGCGCACACGTGTGTTTTTGTGTTAGAGAGAGCGTGTGTGCGCATGTGTATGCGTGTGTGTGCGTGTGTACGTGCCTGTGTATGAGGGAGTGTGCATGTGCGTGTGTACGTGTCTGTGTGTAGAAGAGAATGAGAGTGTGTGTGCGCGTGTCTGTTTGTGTGTGAGAAAGAGTGTGTGTGTGTGTGTGAGCGTTTCTGTGCGTGAGAGTGTGTGTATGTACTGTCTCTGTGTGCGCGCGTGTCTGTGTGTGAGTATATGTGTGTATGCGCATGAGTGTGTGTGTACGTGTCTGTGCGTGAGAGTATGCACCTGTGTCTGTGTGTACGCGCGTGTCTGTGTATGTGAGTGTGTGTGTGTGTCTGTCTCCGCGAGCGCGCGCGTGTGTGTGTGTGTGTGTTTGTATATGACTCTATTCTGTCCACAGTATTGACATAAATCCTAACCAGAGATAATCACTTTTTGTTCGATTTCCATGAACAACATAGGGTAGAGTAAAGATAATGTCAGTGGCCACCGATTAAAAAATCCTAAAACCTTCATTCTGCATACTGGTGTTGCGATAAACTTTCTTGGCCGGATCAGATTAGTATTTTCACACTGGGAGACTGCTTTCGTAGACACTGGAGAAAAAAAGAAGAGGCGTCCCAGATTTAGGACGAGACAATCTTTTTCCAAAATGATATCCTCCTGACTCATAAATAGATACAACGTGTACTAGTTGTCATTTTCAGAATCGGGAAGAAGGCATGTAAGACATATCTATATTTTGATAGAATGTCCTCTTTTTAGAAAATAAAAATTCAATTTACGTCTTTCCAACTTCCCTCGATCTGTCTTTACTTTGTTTTTTGTTAAGTAGTGACAGTACTAAGAATATTTACATAAAATCCCATCTTCGTCGCCAAAAATTTGTTATATCCCAGGTTGTTGAGACGAACAAAAATGAATAAAAATAAAAGACAAGTGTATTTTAACACATAATAAAGCATCTTTTTATTCACATTTACTACCTGAGAACAACAAGGATTGTTTGGATTGAAACTATGAGTTCCACGTGCCGGTCAGCTTATAACCATGCTGAATTCAGAAGTGCCGCGGTCTAACTCGCGGGCATGGGTCGTAAATCCATTGTCTTATGAGTTATCGTCCTTTATAAGGGGAAGTAAGTAACACCCACCTCACAGTTTCCTTTGAAAGAAGTACCGGGTATAACACCAACATTGTCCAAATCGTGTAACAGCACGGGATAATTGTTCACCCCCACAAAATGTTTCATATCTAAAAACCACTACAATTTCTTTTTTCGAGGTTTTAAGAAAAGACGTTTAGCCATATTGACACCATTAGACGTAAGAATCAATGAAAAACCCTGTGAGTTATTCAGCTAGAAAGAGAACAGGTTAAAATCGTTTTGCCAGACCAATATATTCACAACTGAAAAATGGTTAGAGGAAAAAGATCATTCAGACCTTCAGTAATGGTAGGAACATTCTTACTCTGACTTCCATCTTTAAATTCCATTCAAGAACCATCAATTGATCGCTAAACAATTTTTAAAAAAGAGAACAGTAGAGAGGAAAACTGGATTAGAAGGTCATGACAGGAAAAGCACATACTTGTTCTATCGCTTTCTATTTTTGTGTAATTAATTCATTTTCTATCCCTATGCAGGCGGTTTACACACAGTATAAGTTCTGGATTATTCTAATATCCTTCCCAAATATATCAAGCTTACCTAACAGTTCAAACAATTCTTTGTGACATACTTTATCAAACGTTTTTTCATCACTTATAAAACTTTGGTATATATTCTTTCACATTTGTATTTCTCTTTCTGATATCAATTTGAACATAAATATCGCATTCCTTGTTCCAATGTCTATTTCACGTTTAATTCTGCAGCACGCTCACTAATAACAGACTGTATCTTTTAATATTTGCCACAAAAATATATTTTATTTTATTGAGTGTTATAGTAAATTAATTAAAACTGACATTTGTTATTCATTTCTTTATTGAAACCTACCATTTAGCCTACTGAGGTAGAATTTTCCCTATTATAGGTGAACAGGTGGAATGATTGTAAATCAAGTAGTAATCATACACTCACAACAATTATAAATGATTAGATAATTGTCTGTCTAATTATATAATTACCCAAGCACGCCGCCATGCTCGTTAACAGATAGAAATTGTGGCTGCGTTTGTCTCCTTTTTTTTATGGAACAACGCACATTGCTGGTAAACTGAAAGTCATCCGGGATTAGACAATAAATTGTCAAAAGCTGTCGCATAGTGTGTAATCAGGAATATCGAAAAAATTGTAGCTAACGGAAGATACACAAGTCTATATCCGATTAGTATTGGTTGGGTCACCGTGGAGAGGGGGATATGATGTTGAAACACCCGAAATCCCTAATTAATCTCGGCTAGAAACCTAATAAAGAATCTAATAGATGTATTTTACCAAATGTTTCGACGGACAGAGAAAGTAACAGGCCACCCTTCATTTGATAAACCGACATTGGGGTTAAATATACCCAGTGCTAATATATAGTCGTGGTTAGTGTTTCTTTACATTTGTTGTATTAGTGTATATAGATAAACACTGCATGCAATTTTTGACGTTTAACTTTACTCATGATATAAAGTTATTTTGAATTACTCCATGATTGACTCACTACAGACAGAGAACAGTAATTTTCCATAGAAGTTCACTTTAACGTTAACATTTCTAGATAAACATTTTTAGCAAGACATCGATTTTCTAAATGATTTTTGTCATTATGCTAATCCCGCTTGAAATTCCTACTCTGAACATAGCTACATAGAGCTGAATAAGAGAGAAACATCTGAACATTTTCAATTTTATTTCAAACAATTCGATTCGGTTTTAAGAAAATCTAATTTAATAGATTATTTTGAGTTATTTAAGATAATACCGTATCTTTTTCGGCTATCCTCTACGAATTTGTAGGCACTTCGTTTATTTTAAACATTATTATTTCGTCTACCGAGCTACCTGATCGATACTGTTTAAAATAAACGGATCGTCTACTCAAATACGGCTATTCACAAAAAATAACGTTTGAAGTAATAAATATATTCGACATTCCAACCACCTGAAGAAGGCCAGAGCGTACAACGGCCGAAACGTTGTAATAAATATGGCGACAAAGATGAGGACAATAAATAATGTACATAATACCTCATCTCAGAAATACAGACAGATACTAATAAAAATATATTTATATGTATATAATGTATATTTAAGTAGAAACCATTCTTTCAAACATACTTCGTCGAATATGACAGACAGTGAAAATTTGATGAATTTTTAGTATTCTTAGATCTTTCCGTTTGCTTGGGCTAAGGGAGTGTAGTAATTGTCTATAGTGTCTATTGACCCAAGCGCTTAGGTAACTTCCTTAGCTGTTTTTAAGAGGTTTGCTGTTGCCATTAATTTCTTTCAACGGCTGTCATTTAAGATGTAATTGTGTGATGCAAATTGTATGATAGTAGCGTTTATTCCGAGCCCCACGAAAGGAGATTGGCTGGAATTCAAGTTGGAGTTCTTCAGTTTTAAAAAGCCTTTAGCGCGTTGTTTCCGTTGTTAAATAGAATAAGATTAATACTGGGTGCCAGATGTTTTATATAGAGTCCTTCTCTCACAACGACTTTTTTTTCTGTTACGGGACTTATAAAGAATGATCATGTGTGTGTATATATATATATATATATATATATATATAGAGAGAGAGAGAGAGAGAGAGAGAGAGATTGTGTGTGCGTGTGTGTGGATACTTAAGTAAACGTGTATTTCCAATCACCACCAGTTCGCCGTCGTAAACACGCTAATTTCAAATCCGGATTGTTTTAAGCAGTAGGCTGGCCCTGTTTACTTTAAAAATCGGTAAGCCAACTCTATCCACAGTTTGATTTTATGTAGACAATTATATACAGAAGTTTTCACTTATTCTTCCCACTATAATGTTTTGGACCAAAGAGATGGAATTCTGAAGCTGCTAATGATGAAGGTGATGATGAAGAAGTGAACATTGCTATAAGAAATTGGCTAAATCAGCAGCCATCTGGGTTTTACGAAGCTGGGATGCATACCCTAATTCGAAGGTGGAACACTGCCATTGAAAAAGGTCGGGACTATGTTAAGACGTCGGGATGTGAAGCTGTGATGTATAGCTAAATCTATATGTACGATATATTTGATCGTGTTTATTTCTGATATAATAAAATAAATTACAAGGCTGCTAAATCAAGTGATGATGAAGAAGTGAACATTGCTGTAAGAAATTGGCTAAATCAGCAGCCATCTGGGTTTTACGAATCTGGGATACATGCCCTCATTCGGAGGTGGAACACTGCCATTGAAAAAGATCTTGACCATGTTGCGACGTCGGGATGTGAACCTGTGATGTATAGCTAAATCTTGATGTACGATATATTTGATTGTGTTCCTTATTTCTGATATAATAAAACAAATTGCATTACTTTTTGACTTATCCTCGTAGAAAAAATATTCACTGTTTACGTAAATCAAGAAGCAAGTACAATGATTACAGTGGTTTACAAAAATCTTTTTCTCTGGGGCAAGAATGTGTATAGGTTTTTTAAACTAATTTTGATGTGCTGAATTCAAATTTCTGGACAGTTTTACTATATCATCTATAGTTTTTTTCTTTCCTATATCATATTTTATTATGCTGCATATACAGTCAAAATATAATGTATTTATTCTATTACAATGGTATATTAAAGAAAAAAAAACAACATAGATACAAAACATTGACGGAACTAAATCACTTGCATAATACCTACGTACACATCATAGTACAGCAGATAGTCAGTAGTTAGTTTTTAGATGATCTCGTGTACTTTTTATCCAGTATACCACGTTGAAACATCCAGCAGAAATCCCCCATCATACTGGAGTTCCATTTGCTTTGGTGGTTTCTTTCCATCCTAGTAATATCTTAGTGGAACTCTTCTTAATTCTCATCACTCACTCCCGTGAAGTTTGAGAGGAAGACGTTATTGTGGGAGTAGAGAAAGTTAATTTTGAGTGACATTCGCCATCCCATATCCTAATAAGCCTGTAACTTCTCGATAGACTCTTGGTAATCTGGTACCCGTGTGTTACCAAGGAAACCATGACAGACTGACTTAAATACTTCCCATGAGCTCAGTTCATTTAAGGTAAGACACTCCTTAAACACCTTATCCTTCAGCACTTTTTGGATTCGAGGTCCGACGAAGATGCCCACCTTGAGCCTTAGCAGAACTAAGAGCTGGGTATACAGTGCACAGGTGTTGAAAGGCAGCACCATTTTTGTCCAGGATCTTCACAAAATTCTTCACTAGACCAAGCTTGATATGAAGAGGAGGAAGAAGCACCGTGTTCATGTCCACCAGAGGATTTTCTTTGACACTCTTTTCACCAGGCGCGAAAGTGCTTCCAGACTCCACTCCTGTTGTTTGTAGTGCTTGTACTCAGTTCGATTGTCCCAGGTATAACGAAAGCAACAGTACTTCGTGAAGCCCGCTTGCATACCTATAAGGAGCCCAATAACACTGAGGTCCCTAGAGAGACTCCATTGGTACTGCTTATACTTGACAGATTCCAAAAGGAGCTCTATATTGTCATACGACTCCTTGAGTGGGCAATGAGAATGCTGGGGTGTTTATTCACATTGTGCAGGAGGACAACATTCAAACTTCGCTTGGAAGAGTCTCTGAATAGACGCCATTCTGAGGGATTATGCAGAAAGCCAAGGAAGAGGAATAAGCTAGAGACATTTGTGCAGTAGCACAAACTGTTTTCCATGTCGAAGAATGAGGCAGATGTACTGGCGGTTTAGGGACAGGAAGATCATCTCTGTTAGGAACGGGTGTCATAGCTGAGGGATATTTGAATTTTTAGAAGACGAAGCATTGAAACCAGTTATATCTGTTTGACAAAAATAACAATCATTTGCATGGCTTCGCGTCTCTCTGCAGACCATCGGAACAGCAAAGTTGAAGGTTACTTGAAGTTGAAGGTCAATAAAGCATGCAGTTAGTCCATTGTAAAAGGGTGTGCAACAGATGTGTGGGGCCCAGTATTTGTCCTAATTTCCAATTTTACAGTCAAAATAATGAAAATACGTAGTTCTCAGGGGAGGGTAGTAATTGTTCGGCGCTATGCAGTTGTCAAATCATCATACACATAACAGAATGAATTTGCATTTTATATGCCTACTCGGCATTCTATAGTGCCTGAAGCCATTGTAGAGATATGTGTTAGCTCACCAAAATCTGGAAAACAAAATAAACATGGATCATATATATGATTACCTCCATATATACTGGGTATTCGAATTTGAAGAGGATTTAAGTTCGCCAAAATTAAACCTGCATGGCCGAGCGAAGGGCGCGAAAGTTGGCCATTACATAAGGTCGTTTTTTGTTTTTTTGTTTTTCAAATTAAAAAAAAAAAAACAATGTCCTAAATAGGACACATCTGACAATCTTGAATGCATGTAAATGTATACACTTACGTACATGTATACATCTGCATCTCAAAAACTAGAGGTGATAAATGAAAATGGATTTCGTATCTGAAATCAGAGCCCCAAAATTAAGTTCGAACAACGATTTTTTTATGATTTCCTCAATTTCTTTGTAAACCAGTGTTATCAACATTTGCTAAGCTTAGAGCGGTATATTACCAATTTAGAGAAGGAAAACTTTGTTACGACAATCATTCAAGTGGAGAGGTCATACTTGTCTAGATAATCAGCATTCGAAATCCTGGCTTTTACCTTGACTCGAACTACTAACAAAAGTGGGAATATAGATATACACCCCGCGGCCCGCAGCCATTCTTTCATCGACTAGACAGCTTTATCCTACAGTGTTTTCATTCTCGGTTGCCTTGGTGTGAACAAAAATTAAGAAAGGCCCTGTGTACGTTTAACAGAGGAATAGAAGGTGAAATATTGCCTCAGCAGGAAAAGAAAACACGAATCATGTTTTCCTCTGGCACAATGAGTCTCCCGTATGATCAGATATATTAGGGTTTTTATTCACGGATTCATACCTGCCCCGGTAGGACAGGAGCTAAGTCGGGGACACTAAGTATATTTACGCTGCTACTTCTGTCTTCTTTCACGAAAGCCTAACAAACCAGATCATCCCTTTGGCTAGTGAGAACTCATCTTCGACCCTCTGCTCATCTCTGACTGCAACTGTCTCGATATCTGGATGGCGACTGACACTCTTTCTCATTACTCTGACTGGCCGTGTCGATACTTCGCCACCAACGATTTGACAACCGCCGTCGGCACATAACTGACTTCAGCCCGCACCTGAAATTACCTACCTTTCAGCCAAGTAGTACATAATCCTGAAAGATTTCATATACTGATTGAGAGTGAGTGGTTGATTTGCAGATCTCACTTGTAGACTTTACGGTTTGTAATAAAACACCAGTCGCTTCAGGCTCAGATAAAAATTATTTACCATCCACTTTGCAATGTGGGTGTTCTAATCATACCGGAGATTCATTGTGCCGCAGGATTCAAATACAATGTCAATCGACATCTCCAGTTGCCCTGATCTATCCACTACCCTTCTTCTCATCCTTTCTTCTACAACTCCTATCTGATCTTGCTCCAAATTTTCTGTAACCCCTTGCGTCCTAGTGGCTTCTCGCCTTGCTTGGGTGAAACGTTTAGAAAAAAAAGAAAATGGAAAATATATAACTATTTCAGTTAAGAGGCAAAACACTACACAAAGTGGTTCTGATACCTAAATAATATTTTTTCCTATTTTTGTCCTCGATCCATTTGTCACTGTTGGAATTTGGCCTCGTGGGAAGCAATTTTAAAGCCAGAAAATGATTTTATGTTGTAAGAATTATTTGGCGGGGAGACGGGAGATAATGATTTAGTGATACAAGTCTTACTAATTTACCTATAGCTGGAGGAGAAAAGATAGGTTCATACATTTACTAGTGATATTTACGCATAGGTGAATATAACGAACCCAACGGGAATTGGAACTCGATTCTCCAATTAATAATTCCGAGCCATTAACCATTACACCAACAGCTCATTCAAGCTTACAGCACCAGGTATTTCCAAGCGGTCACCAATCTACGTACTGACAAGGCTCGACGTTGCTTAACTTTGGTGACTGTACGGGAACTGGTGTTTCAACGTGATGTGGCCGTAAGCACTTGGTACATAAACGAAGGCTGGCGATGTTATAAGAACTTTTATATTTTCCAGTTTTTTTTTATAAATTTATAAATAATAATAATAATAATCGTCGATTTCAAGACTTATACATATATACACATAGCCATCCACAGACAGACTGTTTCGCATCTTATTAGTGTGGTTAGACATCTGATCGCTTCAGACCAGGACCGAAACACGACCGATTTGATATCATTCGAAGATTCTAACCCCTAACCCATCGACGCCCGGCAAAGGGAAGGGCGAATTTTTGCGTATTTAATTTTTCATAAACACACTAGTCACTCAGAGAACTCAATCCTTGCTAGGAGAGTCTTGCATTATCAGCAGTAATAGTGACTGTTTACAAATTCGTTCTTTACTCCCCATATATATATATATATATATATATATATATATAGGCATCAGCTATTCATCCAAACAAATTTGATTATAAAGAATCGGTCTTTCCTTCTCCCGGACTAGTCTATAGAACTTAGGCTTCCATGCTATTTATCCATAGCTGGAGACAAGAAGAGGTGGATTTATGCCTTTTCCAAAGGTATTAATACGTAAGTGAATGTAATCAACACGGCTGGAATTCGAACTCGGTTCTCCGATTCATCAATCCGAGCCGCTATTCATTGCTATACTGTTCTTCCTATTCTCATGATAAGTTTTTTTTTGCTCACTTTAGTGTAATAATCTTCTTTCTTTCCCATTTTATCCATGCGATAGACGAACCTTAGCATAACAAATATGTAACCTCATTATCAAGAGACAGCAACAATCGATCAACACTGTTGACCATTTCGATTTTTTCTCACTTATGACAGCCTGCTCAGCGTGACTGTTTCGTTTCAGCATATCTTAAGTTCACGTAAATCGTCCAAATATCATTGTGTTCACAAAGTTCGAAAATAAGTAAAGAAAGTTTGTTATTTTGACCTTTACTTTGTCTTTTTGTCTTTCTTTCTTTATTTATTTATTTATTTCAGACACTTAAAACTCGCTTCTGTCGTGCTTTAGAAAAATACGCTGAACTGGAAATTAATGCAACAAACTAAATGCAAAACAAACGAACTTCTTTTCATGAAGCAAGAGTTCTTACTACTTCTTGTTAATTATTACTTATCTAACTGACATGAGAATATAATTTAGGAAAGAACACTGGTGAGAAGGGGGACAGAAGAAATTATCAACATAGAACTTACGATTTTATCTAGTCAATTTAATTATAAATTGATGAAACCTCGTCGCCAGTCTAATACTGCGCTTAATTTTTTTTTTTTAAGTATAGGCACGATAGCGATATTTAATTGTAAATATTTACAAAAATTGGCACAAGGCCAAAATAGGGAATGGAGAAAAAGATGGTCATCATCTGTCTTAACTTTAAATTTAGCCAGCCACAAACACTGACCCAGACATGCCACAATATTCCTAACACCAAAACAACACACGATATCGAAGAGCATATCCAAACAAAAGCCATGAAAGTATTTATAGAAAAGGCACAAGCAGACAACCTTACGGCTATGGTAAAGTGACTGAAGCCGAGACGCCTGATCAGGGCCAATAATATTGCTGATTCTTTGGATTTTATCAAGGAGTTCTAGATACTAGGAAAAATAGATCGATTTAGAAAGGATGTTAGAATAATCTAGAATTTATACAGGAATCAAACAAGCATGTATACAGATAGAAAATGAGTAGATACACAAAAATAGACAAGCGCATATTCCAGATTTATTCGACCATTACAGCAAGGCCATCCTGGAGACACTACCAGAATTTAATATCGGTGGGCGCAATCTTAACAACATAAGATACAGAGATTACACTGTGTTGATGGCCGACTCGGAAAGTAAACGATAAAACATTCTATGCATCGAAGAAATCAAGAACAAATTACTAACCATAACTTGTGAAAAGACATAATGTTATGGTTGCGAGCAAGAAACAAATACCAACATACCAACTATGGATTGGAGATGTCAAAATTAAAGAAGTACAGAATTTTAATTTCTGACAAGACTTTTAAGAATTCATAAAGTCTAGGTACCATAAGGGAAAGCTCATTCGAACAATTAACATGAAAGAATTTATAGAAAAGGCAGGGAATAATTTCATTAAGTCGGTTAGAAAGTGACTGTAGCAGTATATATATATATATATATGTGTGTGTGTGTGTATACGTCTCACAGATGACGAAACGCACCTTTTCTTTTGTCTTTATTGTTCATATTGTCTTTTTACAGATATGTTCAATCTGAATTTTTTTTACACACACACACACACACATATGCGTGTGCGTGCGTGCGTGCGTGCGTGTGTGTGTGTGTGTGTGTGTGTGTGTGTGTGTGTGTGTGTGTGTGTGTAAAATATATATAATGAAAAAATATACTTTTAATGTGTGCGATATTTATGGGATAAAGTGCTCAATATTAGAAATAAAGCGTATGTAAATATAAAAGTTAACATTGAGGTGAACACTCAGAAGCGACAATCTGTTTCATGCTAGACGCAATTGCGGCCTGTCGCCTCTGAGTGTTGTCTTCAATGTTATATATATATATATATATATATATATATATTAGTGCCAGTCGGTATTTCGCACCTGAAGATTGCACGTTTGCTATCAACGTTGACTATTATGTATAATCACTAATATATATATGTCTGTATTTCTGAGATGAGGTATTATGTACACTATTTACATTGTTCGGACTATCGTCCTCATCTTTGTTGCCATATTTATCACAACGTTTCGGCCGTTGTACGCTCCGGCCTTCTTCAGGTGGTTGGAATGTCGAACTGAACCCTACTGGTAGACTTTTCTAGTTCCACGTGCCATGTCTAATGGATGTCAGTATCAGTTATCTCCTGCTAATTTCCCTCTCCAAGTTCTCCATCGCCTAAACCAGGTATTGAACTCACACTCTGTGTCCTGTCACTGAATCTAACTAACGCCTTTATCCACTGTGCCATGTGTCCTTGATAGTCCGAACAATGTAAATAGTGCACTAATATATACTCAATAGCTCTGTAATATAACGTTAGAGAACTGTTTTTATAACACCTGAGAAAGAAATATATACGTACGTGCAAGTATATGTGCGCATATGTATGTTTTTATCATAACCATATATATATATATATATATATATATATATTGTCACGTAGCCACGATTTCATTAACCATATAGGCGTTAGGCTATAGTAAAATCTTAAATAAAGAGAAAATTAGTTAGATATAAAAGAAAAATAAATTAATAAATAAAAATAGAAATTTAATCCAATGTTTTCGACTTGCGAGCGAATATATTCTATGATCAGCCATACACCTTCTTTTCTCTTCACAAATTCTTTCTCTCCTTATCCTCTCTTCCACCCACAAGCCAAGGGCCCGTGAACTTCGAAGTGACCCGACGCGAGAATGACCTGGTTCCAAGATTTCGCAGCTATCAGGCGGCTGACCATAAGTGAATTCCAGGCACCATCAGGGTCTCCTGCTGCGATTCACGTGATCGGGACGTACGGAGCATGTGTTGAACTTTTGGCCATCACACAAGCACTGCGTGATTTGCGCCCTATCCTCCTGCGTACCCGGTCGAAGGGAACCCACGTGACTGTCTTTGGGGACAGCGAAAACCAAAAAAGGATTTTTCAGTTTTCCCTCTGACCAGCGGCAGTTGAACGTCGCTGGGCAAAAATCGTCAGTCTGCCCACCGAGGTGAAGAAGACAGCAAAGTCTGTCGACTAGGGGTGAAAGGACTGCTATGGAACTGATCGACCCAACGAAACGCTTGTATGAGATGCTGTGGACCCTCGAACACTTGTGAAAAGAAAAGGAACCCAGGAAAATTGTCGGCCGGCCAAGATATTGTTTTATCATCAGAACTCTTGCTTCGGCGAATCAAAACTTTACGTGAAGATATCAACCCGACTGCAAGATAAGTTGATTCTCTTGGTTTGATCTGTTTTCATATATGTATTTATTCGCTCGCGCCTTCTATTCTTTAATGATCTCCTACCCTTTTGTTAAATGAACGTTCTTTTTTTTTTCTTTATTTCCTTATATATATTTATAAATAAATGTTTTATTTTGAAATCCATCGTCTTGTGTCTGTTCTTCGTTGATTCCCTTGTGCCGCTTCCATTTCTGAGTGAAGACCGAGAAAAGATCCCACGTTTTTCCTTTTTTAGAACCCGTGGTTCATCTATATGCTACAAGTTCGTAACAATATATATATATATATATATATATATATATATATATATATATATATATATATATTCTTTTTTATACGTTAGTTTTAAGGATACAACTTATCTGAGTAAATGCTCTGTTTTAATTAAACAGTATTAATTACATTTACCCGCCTGAATGTTCGAGAAATTTCGCAGAAAATATGCGTTCTCCGACGGGAATTTAACCTGTCTCCCATAAGAAAACCGTCATATTGCCTGAGAACGCATATTTTCTAAATATAAATATAAAAGTGAACATTGAAGTCTACACTCAGAGGCGACAGGCTGTTTCATGCTAGGCGCAATCGTCAGGCCGCAAATGTTGGACTTTTCCTCGACTATTTATATATATGGGTCAGTGGTGCATTGTGGGTAGTCTATTCTGGCGGTTACTTTTGCGGGAGTGATTTGTTTAGTTATTTATTTATTTGGGTTAATTTATTTATTTTTCACTTTCATTTTGTATTATTTATACTTTTCGATTTTTGATGTTTTATTAACGTAATAAAATAATTGGGTGGTGGATTTGCTTAGGTCACTTATTTAATAGTTAGTCTTGGTGTGGGAAGATAATTAATGCTATTTATTCGTTCAATGTTTAGATTGCTTACCATAGTCTATTCTGTTATTTTGGCGGGGGACAGATTTAATTTATTTATTTATTTGGATTTATTATTTTTACTTGTTCTTGCTTATTTATGCTTATTTTTATTAGTTCTCACGGTTATTTTAGCCGGGGTG